ATCCTGTTTCCCCTCCCCCCCTCTGATTTGGGATGCGCAATTTGGGGAGTGGGGGTGGCGTGCTGTTCCAAGGGTCCGGGTCGGTAATCAGGCAGGTCCGCCACCACCCCGCCTCATCCTGGTCCTCATACCCACTCACACCCACACACGGCCCTCTGCAGAGACTCGGTTTCCGGTGTTGATATTCACTGCAGAAGGCATTTGGGGGCTGGGAGTGGGGGTGGAAACACACTCAGAGACAAGAAAGTAGAGAAGTAACCCCCTCACAGGGAGAGGTGGGGGTAACATTCAGTGCCCTGTTGGGAAATCAGTTTCCTAGTCCACACAGGCTCAGCTAGGCAGAAAGTGGGGGATGCATAGACAGTATCAGACAAGCAGAGGGGGACACTTGGGCGGTGTACACACTCTTGCTCAAATTGTAGGGAGGGTGAAGAGGGCCTGAAGGCACACAGGGAATGCCACATATGGATACATATAGACACACACACATTCTATATGTATGTGTTTCATACATATAGAAACACTTTTGTGTTTTCCTTACACGAAAGTAAGGAAACACAGGAGTATTTTCAGACAGAGAACAGACACCAGTCTAGGTGTATATATAGACATACAAGCCCAGGATAGCACACATGGGCACGCATACACTTATACACACAGAGAAGCAACACACTGACACACAGAGACCCAGAGAAACTCATCCGAACATACACACCCAGACAAAACACATACTTGCAGATGATCATGGAGAAACATAGATCTGCAATACACATTCACTGCAGTTCTAACCCTGAGGCATGTCCACCTCCTCACCAACAACCATAATGCACTTGGTTTATATGCCCCCATTCCTTTGCTCTGGACACAGCTAAAACCCACAATAACCACGTGGTGTCATCAGTGCTCATAGATGTCTCCCCCTCCATCTGAGAACTTTCCACAGAGAAAGGCAGGCCCATCCCAGGATCATATACATATACAGTAGGTGCCAAATAATGTTTACACATGAGAAAATGAGGTAGCTGAGGCAGAGGTGGGATGTGGAAGCCAGCCTGTCAAACCTAAATGATCCTAACTACAATAAAAGCACAAATTCATAAATAACCATTTGTTGACTGATTGTAACTAACATTTAAATAAGCTGTTTACATGCACCATTTCATCCAACCTTCACAACAATGCTATGGGGTGGATAATATAATTTCCATTTTACAGATGAGGGAATGTGAGAATGCCAATTCATTCCCAAACGGTTATATTCACTTTACAATCCATACTATTTTGCTTTTTTTGAGACAGAGTCTCACTCTGTTGCCCTGGGGTTGAGTGCTCTGGCATCACCATATCTCACAGCAACCTCAAAATCTTGGGCTCAAGGGACCCTCACGCCACCCATGTAGCTGGGACTACAGGTGGCTGCCTCAATGCCTGGCTAATTTTTCGGCAGGGTCTCACTCTTTCTTAGGCTGCTCTTGAACTCAAGCAATCTGTTCATCTCAGCCTCCCAGAATGCTAGGATTACAGGCATGAGCCACTGTGCCCTGCCTCACACTTTTTTTCTTTAAGAATATACCAGGAAGAGAGAACAGCCAAAACCAGTGTGGCTGGAACAAAGTGAGGGAGATTGTAGTAGGAGATGGGGTCAGACATTATCAGGGGCCAGATTGCATAGGACCTTTGCTATAATGCGTGATGATGATGGACCAGGTGAAGTGGCATGAGATATGCAAGAAGTAGGCAGGTCTGAGATCTCTTTTGCCTGTGGGATTTTCAGGTGAATCATCCATTTATTTATTTGTTCATTCTTCATTCATGGCTGGTTTAAAGAAGGCAGTAATAGTGTGGGGGTCTGGAGTCACAGTACTGGGGTTCAAGCTGGGCCTCCACCATACCCTTGGGAAAGTGACTTAACCCCTTTGAGATTCGGAGTTTTTGGCCGAGGCTAGGTTTGAACCCGCCACCTCCAGTATATGGGGCCAGTACCCTACTCATTGAGCCACAGGCACTGCTCCCCTCTTTGAGATTTGGTTTCTGCATCTGTAAAAGGGGTATGCCACTGACTTACCTCTAAGGAGAGAAGTAGGGGAGGAGCAACCTCTGTACCTTTGCATGTGCTGAAACTTCTGCCAGGAATGCCCTTTTTCTCTTTCAAGGGCTGTCTTTGGCCACTGTATCCAGGAAGCCCCCCATCCCTAGGTCTCAGATTCCATCCTCTCTTCCCCTAGGCTCCCATAGTCCCCAAGTTAAACATTTTCTTAACCATCCTCTACTCCCTCCTCCAACCCAGCCAGCTTCAGTCCCACCTCCTGGCCTTTGCTTTGGCCATTCCTTTCTCCTTCCTCCAGGATGCCCTCTCTGGCATTCCAAATCCCAACATTCCTCAGATGGGAGCGCCCCACAAATGAGATATTTTCCAATATTTTGAAGTATGTGGTCCTTGAGCAAAATGCTCATTAATGGAAGCAAACAAGCTGCTCAGGGCATGGTGCTGTCTTTTGGCGACAGGAGCAGCTGCAGGTCTAGAGATGTTTCTGGCTACTCTGGGCCTGAATTCTTGTTCCTCAGGAATCTGTCTCCAGACTGTGCCTCTTCCTAGGTATCCCAGTCCTAGGATCCTAATATTTGTGGCCCCAGCGCCATTGCTTTTTTCTTTTTTTTTGAGACGGAGCCTCAAGCTATCCCCCTGGGTAGAGTGCCATGGCATCACGCTCACAGCAACCTCCAACTCTGGGCTCAAGCGAGTCTCCTG